TAACTGTTGTTGTAGGCAAACTCCGCTAAAGGCAAAAAGTGATCCCACGAGCCTCCAAAGTCAATAACACAAGCGTCACAATAACTGTATATGGCCCTGAACCTGTGGGCAAAACCAACACTAGCGCCATAGTCAAAGCTGTCTTGAGATTCTAAAAGCTCGCCTCACACTCGTCCGACCACCTGAACTAGGCACCCTTTTGGGTCAACCTGGTCATAGGGGATGCTATCGATGAAAACCCCTCCACAAACCGACGGTAATAGCCTGCCAAACCCAAGAAACTCCGGATCTCTGTAGCTGATGCGGGTTTAGGCCAGTTCTTGACTGCCTCTATCTTTTCCGGATCCACCTGAATACCCTCTGCTGAAACAACGTGACCCAAGAATGCAACTGCACTCAACCAGAACTCACATTTCGAAAACTTAGCATACAACTGACTATCTTTCAAAGTCTGAAGAACCACTCTCAAATGATGCTCATGCTCCTCCCGGCTGAGGGAATAAATCAAAATATCATCAATGAAGACGATCATGAAAGAATCCAAATAAGGCCTGAACACTCGGTTCATCAAATCCATGAAAGCTACTGGGGCATTTGTCAATTCGAATGACATCACCAAGAACTCATAATGCCCGTACCGAGTGCGAAAAGCTGTCTTAGGGACATCGGATGCCCTAATCCTCAACTGATGGTAACCAGATCTCAAGTCGATCGTAGAAAACACTTGGGCACCCTGAAGCTGGTCAAACAAATCATCAATCCGCGGCAATGGGTACTTATTCTTGATTGTGACCTTGTTCAATTGCCGGTAATCTATACACATCCTCATCGATCCGTCCTTCTTCTTAACAAACAACACCGGCGCACCCCCAAGGTGATACACTAGGCCTAATAAAGCCTTTATCAAGTAAGTCTTGCAACTGCTCCTTCAATTCTTTCAACTCAGGCGTGGCCATACGATACGGCGGAATAGAAATGGGCTGAGTGCCCGGAGCCAAATCAATGCAGAAGTCAATATCCCTGTCGGGTGGCATACCCGGCAGGTCTGAAGGGAAAACCTCAGGAAACTCACGAACAACAGGCACAGAAACCATAGAAGGAACCTCAGCACTAGAATCATGAACATATGCCAAATAGGCCAAACACCCCTTCTCGACCATACGCCGAGCCTTCATATACGAGATAACACTACGGGTAGGATGACCAGGAGTCCCTCTCCACTCTAAACGAGGCAAACCCGGCAAGGCTAAGGTCAGAGTCTTGGCATGACAGTCCAAGATAGCGTGGAAAGGTGATAACCAGTCCATCCCCAATATGACATCAAAATCAACCATGTCCAAAAGTAATAGGTCTACTCGAGTCTCAAAACCCCCAATCACTACTATACAAGAACGATGGACATGATCTACCATAATAGAATCACCCACCGGTGTAGACACATATACAGGAGCACTCAAAGAATCACTAGGCATGACCAGATACGGTGCAAAATAAGATGACACATAGGAGTATGTAAACCCTGGATCAAATAGAACTGAAGCATCTCTACTACAAACCAGAACAGTACCTGTGATAACTGCATCGGAAGCCTCAGCCTTAGGCCTGGCTGGAAGGGCATAACATCAGGGCTGAGCCCCACCACTCTGAACTACATCCCTGGGACGGCCTCCTGCTGGCTGGCCTCCACCTCTAGCGACCTGACCTCCACCTCTAATACTTCTACCTCCACCTCTAGCACCTCTACCTCCACCTCTAGCTAACTGAGCGGGCTGTGGAACACTCGGTGCCTGAACCATGGCACAGGAACCCTGGTGCTGAGAACTGCTCGGTGCTCGAGGGCAAAATTTAGCGATATGCCTCGTGTCGCCACAAGTAAAACAGGACCTCGGCTGCTGGGGATGATGACCCTAAAAACTCTGAAGCGGAGGTGCACTGATTGGGGCTGGTGGTGCACTGTAGGACTGCTGATCGGAATACTGCATATGAGAACTACGGCCACCTGAAGCACTGTGAGAAACCTGAAGTGCTAACTGAAAAGGCCTAGGAGGATGGCCTCTACCAAAAGAATCCCTGCCTCCAGACGAAGCACCACTGAATCTGCTTTAATGACAAGGCCTCTTGTCAGACCCCTGACCACTCCTCTGTGACAGAACCATCTCAACTCTCCTGGCCACATTGGCCGCCTCCTAAAAAGAAATCTCACTCCCCGTCTCCTTAGCCATCTACAATCGAATAGGCTGAATGAGTCCCTCAATGAACCTCCTCACTCTCTCTCTCTCAATGGGAAGTATAAGAAGAGCATGATGGGCCAAGTCAATAAATCTGGTCTCTTACTGAGTAACAGTCATAGAATCCTGCTGGAGACGCTCAATCTGCCTCCGATAGTTCTCCCTCTGAGTGATAGGAAGAATCTTCTCCAAGAATAGCTGAGAAAACTGATCCCAAGTCAGAGCTGGTGACCCAGCTGGCCTAGCCAAACAATAATCTCTCCGCCAAGCCTTGGCTTATCCAGACAGTCGAAAAGCAACGAAGTCGACCCCATTGGTCTCCACTATCCCCATGTTCCTGAGAACCTCATGACAGCTGTCTAAATAATCCTGGGGATCCTCAGAAGATGCACCGCTGAAAGTGGTAGTGAAGAGCTTGGTGAACCTGTCCAATCTCCACAAGGCATCAGCAGACATAGCTGCTCCATCACCGGTCTGAGCTACCACACCCGGCTGAACTGCTCTAACTGGCTGAGCTGCTGGATTCTGAAACTGGGGAGCCATCTGCTCCGGAGTACGGGTAGCGGGAGTCTGGGCTCCTCCTCTAGCCTGAGAGATGGCTGGTGCTACAGGAAGCAAGCCTGCCCGGGTGACACTCTCCATAAGGCCCACTAGACTGACCAGAGCATCCTGGAGAACTGGGGTAGCAATGAACCCCTCTAGGACCTGAGCTGGTCCTGCTGGAACTGTCTGGGCCGGAACCTCCTCGTCAAACTCAACCTGAGGCTCCGTCACTGGTGCTGCTGCTCTAGGCTGAGCTCTGCCCCTGCCTCGGCCTCTAGCACGGCCTCGGCCTCGCCCTCTGCACCTCGTAGATGCTACCGCTGGGGGCTCGGGCTGGTGATCAGCGGATGAAGAAGCGCATGTTCTCGCCATCTGTGAAAGAACAGAGTAGAAGTTCAATTAGCATTGAGAAATCAAGTCGCACGACAGAAAAGTATAGATGTGAAGTTTTTCCTAACTCTGTAGCCTCTGGGGGATAAATACAGACGTCTCCGTACCGATCTCTCAGACTCTACTAAGCTTGTCCGTGAATTGTGAGACCTAAGTTACCTAGAGCTTTGATACCAACTTGTCACGACCCGGATTTCCCACCCTCGGGAGTCGTGATGGTACTACTAGTGAAAGCTAGGCAAGCCAACCATTTTGTACTTTTTACCTTTTTCCCATTTTAATCCTTTAACAATTAAGAACCAACATTAAATAATCAGCGGAATTTAATAAGCGGAAGACTGAAATGCAATATTATAACAATGATGCCAACACCAATCCATAACATAAACTACCCAGAACTGGTGTCACAATTTCACAGACTGTCTAAGAATACTACAAATAAGGGTCCGAAAGATAAATATAACGCTGTCTCTGAAATACATAAAAGAAACAGAATGAAAGGATAGAAGGAGACGCCAAGGCCTGCGGACGCCTGCTGGACTACCTCGGGTCGCCTAATGAACTGGAAGCAGCAACCTCACTGCGGTCTGAAAGCTACAGTATTGGGATCTGCACAAAATAGTGCAGAGTGTAGTATCAGCACAACCGACCCCATGTGGTGGTAAGTGCCTAACCTAACCTCGGCGAAGTAGTGACGAGGCTAGGACCAAACTACCAAATAAACCTATACAGTTAAATCATATATAGCGAAAAATAAAGGCAGATAATTACAATTAAAGATGTGAGGGGAAAAGCATGCTGCGGGGAGTACCAGATAACAACAGAATACAAGAGAGGAATGTAAAGAAACCAAAATTCAATTGCTAACAAGAATAAGAGAAACAAACACAGTATTCACTTTCATCTCTTTCTTGTTGCAGGCGTGTAACCCGATCCCATTTCATATATGTTGTTGCAAGCGTGCAACCCGATCCCATTTCAAATATTACCGTGGCGGCGTGCCACCCGCTCCTATTTCATATATCCTATTGCAGGCGTGCAAGCCGATCCCATTTCAAATCAACATCAATCACAAAAGAATCCCGGCAAGGGAACAAGAGTATAATAACAATCATATCCCGGCAAGGGAAATAATATCATAATCCTCTTCTCTTTTTCACATTTACTTCACAACCCAATTCACAACTTGAGCCAATGCTCTATAATGCTTAATTGCCAATAATTCTTCCACAAATCACGTTACAACTTGAGCCAACTCATCAAGGTTCAATTACCAATACTACTACCACAAGCTTCGTTCAACAATAGAGATTCTCACATAAGGCATAAACAATACAAAACGGAGCCACATTAATCATAGTATAAGACTCACGGGCATGCTTGACACCAGCGCATACACTACTAGAAATTACAGCTATGGCAACCGTTCGAAAACCGTTGCAATAGATACGCTAACCGTCCCTATAGGGCTATTGGGACGGATTTGGACGCGTTCCGGGATTTAGCGTTACAATAGGTCTATTGGAACGAGTATTTGCAACAGTTTGAAAACCATCTTCATAGATAGGGATATTTTAACGGTTTGGACTGCTACTATTGTTCTATCTATAGTAACGGTTTTCTTTTTCTGTTGGGACGGTTATAAACTGTCCTGGTATAATAATACAGTTGATTTTTTAAGTCTATTGCAACGGTTTTCATGATATATTGCAACAATTATCAGTACCCTATTGCAACGGATACTATAACATATTGGAACAGTTATTAGGGGCTGCTCTTATTATTTGCTAGAACGGTTATATTCTCTATTGCAACAAATTATAATTTCTGATATTTATGGAAGCAAAATAAAAAATATTTTCCTATTCTATGAAATTGTTTACACCATATCCAACTAGCATTATCCATGTCAAAAATAAAATATGGATACACTGTTTGGTCAACTATTCAAAAGTCAAAATAGATGAGTTTGCATACAAAAAGTTCTAAACTGAAATATCCTTAAACATAATAATAGAAAGTCTAACAACGATCAACAACACTCAAGTAAGGTCTTCGTCACTGCTTTCATCGGCAATCGCTGCACCTACAAAAGACAATGAGAAATAATTAAACAAAATTTTTAAGATAATTGAGTTATAAAGTACTTAAAGTAGCTTCAAGCACAAATTCAGTTGATAAGCAATGCAAGAAACATGGAGTCTCAAATGATGATGCCTCCACTGTCTAATCTAGGATTAAAGCAACCACTTATTCAGATGCCTTTACTAGCAAGAATTGGCATGGGTGTCAATCTTGGCATGGCACGAGGAATGCTTAACAATATGACTGCTAATAATTGAATCACAAAGTAATTGAATGACCAATTTGATAACTCGAAAATTTTCAAATTCTCTAAATTCTTAAATTTTTCCGCAGAGATTCCTTTGTAAATATGACTATCGCAAAATTTTCGACCTGCTCAAAACATCATTTGTAAATACGATTATGCAGAACCTACTACGGCTGACAGCTACTGAACCAAAACAACATCGCCTAAACAATATTATGTCTGACAGCTATTGAACAAAAACAACAGCAGAATATGCTATTACGAAAAACAACATTATAACCAACAGCTGAACATACTACGGCTTAGGAACAAGCAAAGTCTCTCAACTTTCGCTTTCCCTCTTAATTTTCTTACTCGTTTATTTCTTAGCAAAAGAACAGTCCCACCTTTACTAGCCAACTCAAAATCTATGTAGCAATCACCTAACCAATATTCTCTAAACATATCCTTCTGGAAATCGTTAGTCACTCAATTACTTCACGATCTCATGTAACAGGAACGAATTCACAAACCCAATATTTATAAAAGAGAAGAGGAAAGCAAAGAGATAATGGTTTTGGTAACATAACATAAGGCCCTGCAAACCCAAAAAAAAAAAGACTCCCCATTAAGGATTTATACATGTTTAGAAGAACAGTGAATCAACTGTGTTCAAGGCAGTTGACAAATTCAACCACATCACCAACATATGATGACCACCAACATTCGGATATCTGTATGCACTTATGGATCAAGACCCTAATTTTTTTTATCAACTTTAGGGACTTTATTTCATGCAATATTAAATCAGTACTTTTTAATTTTAAATAAGCAATATTAATACCTGGAATGAGTTGGCCTTCTTTGTTGCTATCAGTAGATGGACGACGGATTGATTGCAAAGTTGGTTGCCAGCAGTCACCAAAACCGTCACATAAACAGCTACGTAAGGCAAATTTCACCAATAACAAACATTTTAACAAATAGTGGCTATTATATTTAGCAAGAACAATAAATTTTTTTAAGTTGATGACGTGCCACAATCTTATCCGTGTGTACCATAAAAAGTAATGCAAATACTTGAAAATTAAGATCAGCAGAAGAATGTTAGAGTTTCCAATATGAAACTGAAATAACTTAGCAATATGAACTGATTTCCAATAATCATAGGAAAGATAAGCAATGAAGAGTAGGTTCTCCTCTATGAACCAAAGTCCACCCAATATGTAAGCTAGATCTTGTCATTTGGACAGCAGCAGTGACAAGAATATATGCAACAATGAGAAAATAGCAGCAGTAGCGCAGAGAAAGAAGGAAAAAAAAACAGTAACGCAGAGGAAGGAGGAGGAGGAGGAGAGTTTCCAATATGAAACTGACACTCAAAGACTTGAGCCTTGACTTTCAATGCATATAACTCGAATATGCATTGAAATTGCTTATAGTGTCATTCACTGTTTGTAGTGTAAATTTAAAATGAAATATGTCAGTTCACTGTTAAATTGGAAAAGCAAAGACAATGTCCAGAATTCTTCACTCTACTATTAAGGAACTACACTAGATATTCTATGAGCATCTTGCCTTTTGGGTATAGTTTGAATACAAATTTTCTTTAACTCATTCATTTCATTTGTAATCAATTATATTGAATGAGTTAAAGAGGATTTCTATTCAAACCATACACAAAATTCAAAAAGTAAAATGCTTATAGAAAATCTGGTGACTATTCAAAATTATACCAAAATAAAATACAATAGCAAAAGCATTTATTAATAAAGAGCCCCTAGAGTATTGAAGTAGAGATGCTTTTGTTGCACATAATGTCAACTAAACAATTGGCTATCATATACTTACTACTGATGCTCTAAATCTTGATTTTATAAAATAAAATAAAAAACAGCTTAACAAACTGATGTCTAAATCTTGATAAAAAGAATTATGTACCTTACTACTTGATCAATCTAGTACCTGTTGTGAGAAGTACTATATTTCATATTTGTCTACTATATATATCAGTCTCTCAGAAAAGGAAACATAAAGCAAATAACTGAAGAAGAATACATTAAGACCACAACATTAAATCGAATGACTCAAATAGAAAAGGTAAGAAAAACCAGCAGATGTCAATAATTAAAACAAGGTATTATGCTAATGTCATTCTAAAACTAATGAACCATAACAAGTAGGACAAGGGGCTAAGATACAAACTTCAATCTTTAACAAGTACGTAACGCACATCATTCTCTCGGATGCTAATCAGTCTTTCAAAATAGATTTTCCACCACTTGAACGAAACAGATTTTTAGCATATCAAATCAACAAAAAACTAAAGAACAATAAACAACACAAAGACAGACCTCCATCGAGGTAGTGAACTGATTGATAGGTGCAGTCGGGACATTAGAGCGTGAATCTCAGGAACACTTTCAAAAATTATATTTCAAACTCTTCACATTCAGAATAGGTATTTCATGCTTTTTAACCAACAATTAGAAACCAAGGCATCAATTTATGTTTACAATTGGCTTATACAGCGACAAAGAGTCGGCAAGGCGATCGAAGAGAAAATATATCATAGTAATAGAGCCAAGCGACAAATAGCCGGTGAGGCAACGACAATAATAAAGAATGCTCTTTTTGAAGTAATAGAATGCGGGCAAGGTTACTAGTAAATGAATAACTAACAACTCCTACTAATTACTAGAGCTAAGCTATATTAGTAGGAGTCACTTTAATAAATTCTCTCCTGCTAGACGGCAACTAATTTCAGACTTGATTGAATTTTTCTCCAAAGATGAGTAAATACTGCCATGCTTGAAATGATACTTGAGATGCATATAACATCGAGCGATACATAATAACGAACAAGACAACGAGCGTCGAACATCGATAGTGAACATCGAACATGGGTTTCGAACACGAAATAAAAACCTACCAACAAAACCCCCAATTTTACAAACTAAAAATCACAAACAAATTTGAGCAAAACAACAATTTTTCAGCCAAAAAAAATACTGAAAGTAAGTAAAATAATTGGTTTATGAAGAATATTACCAGAGAAGAAAGCAGATCGAAAGAAGCAGCGAACAATTTCAGTGCTCAGCGAACAACCATACAAACATCGAACAGGTGAAAACACCAACAGCCTACATCGGAGATTGCGTTACATTAACCGGAGCAGGCCGTCATTCGCCGGAAACTCCCTTATTTCGCCTGAGCAGGCCGTCGTCGGATTTTTCAAGGCTGAAAATACAGAGAAATTTTGTGGGTTCAAACTTGGAGAAAGAGGCGTCTTATGTTTTTGTGGGTTTTGTATATTTTTTAAACTTAAAATATAACCTAAACAAAGTTATTAAAATGTTGGTGGGGTCATATGTTTTATATTTATTTTTTTAGTAAATATATAGGAGGGAAAGTAACGGGAAAAACATAAACCGTTCCACTATACTTTAATTTCACAAAACCGTTCCCACAAACTACCCTATTGTGTCGCCTTTACGAACCGTCTCCATAGCTAAGCTTATGGTGACGTTACTATCCTATTGGAATGGTTGTGCTTCAGAAGTGTCCCAAAAGCGTTTTGACTCTATTGGGACGACTGAAACCGTTCTAATAGACGGTCAGGCCGAGCGCACTATTCAAATGCTCGAGGACACGTTCGAGCTTGTACTTTAGACTTAAAGGGTAGTTGGAAGGATCAACTACCACTCATCGAATTTGCCCACAACAACAACTATAATGCTAGTATTTGGATGACACCATACGGGCGGAAGTGAAGATATCCTATCGGTTGGTTCGAAGTTGGTGAAACCAAGTTATTGGGCTCTGGATTGGTGCATCATGTTGTGGAAAAGGTTTAAATAATTAGATATCGATTGGTGACCGCTCAGAGTAGGCAAAAATCTTATTCGGATAACCGACGACAAGATTTAGAGTTCGAGGTAGGAGACTAGGTGTTGTTAAGGGTGTCGCCTATGAAAGGCGTGATGAGATTTGGCAAAAGAGGCAAACCTAGCCCCTGGTACATCGGACCATACTGAATTATTCATAAGGTTGGCCAAGTGGCATATTGTTGCGAGATTAAAAAATCACCATCAATACCGGACCGGTCATTTTCAGAATTTGCATTCCATTTAGCTATCTGAAGTCTTGATTAGCTTCATATGATGTATTATGACTTGTATGTATTGTCGGTTTTGGTTTTCAGGTGTTTTAGAATTAGTTTGGAAGAATGAATTTCATGTTTGAAGCTTTAAGTTGGAAGAGTTGACCAAGTTTGACTTTTTAGTATTTGACCTCGGTTTGGCATTTTGATGGTTCCTTTAGGCCCGGATGGTGATTTTGTACTCGGGCGTATGCCCGAATTTACATTTGGATATTGTTAGAAGGTTTCGGCACTAACTGGCGAAAGTTGGAAATTTAAAGGTTTAGAATATTCATAAGTTTGACCGGGACTTTGACGATATCGGGTTCGAATTTTAGTTAAGGAAATTGGAATAGCTTCGTTATGTTTTGGGATTTGTGTGCATAATTTGAGTTCATTCCGAGTTGATTTGATAAGGTTCAGCACGAGTTTTGGAAGTTAAAAGTTCAAAAGTTCTTCAAGTTCGATTTGAGGTATGATCCCTCGTTTTGATGTTGTTATGCATGATTTGAGGTCTCCAGTAAGTCCGTGTTATGTATTGGGACTTGTTGGTATATTCGGACGAGGTCCCAAGGGGCTGGGGTGAGTTTCGGATATGGTTCGGATAATTTCGAATGGTTTGTATTGCTGATTTTTTTGCTGTCACTTGTTGCTTCTGGTGTTCTTCGCGATCCTGAGGGTCCTGCCGCGATCGCAAAGGTGTTTTGCTCTGCTGCAGAATTGTTCGTCGCGTTCCCGAAGGTTGAGGCCATCGTTCATCGTGTTCGCGAGTACAGCAACACATTCGTGTAGAAGGAAGGAGGGCCTGAGGATGTCATGCGTTTGTTCTTTACGGTCGCGAAGTGTGGAACGAGATTGCGTAGCTCTAGGGGATTGACCATCGCGTTCGAGATTGAGAGGTCGCGTTCGTGTAAGAGGAATTTCATTTGGTGGGATTTGTGATACACGAACACGAGGTTTGTTCCGCGTTCGCAAAGTGTAATGACAGGGCAGATCTATTAAATCCCATTTCGAGGGTTAGAGTAATTTTATCATATTTGGATCTATGGAGCTCGGATTGAAGCGATTTTTGAAGTGATTTTTACCAAATAGATTGGGGTAAATGTTCTCTACTCGGTTTTTATTATATTTCATGAAAATATTCTCGTTATTGGCTTCTGGTTGATGATTTAAAGAGAAATTGGGGGGAGGGGTTGTCTAAAATTTCATAAAGTGAATTTTAGAGTTTTGAGCATTGATTCGGAGTGGGATTTGAGTGAAAATAGTATGGTTGGACTCATAATTGAATGGGTAGATTGTGTAAGTTTTGTCGGGTTCCGAGGTGCGAGCTCGGGTTTGACTTTTGGGTTGACTTTGGGCTTTTGACTAAAGATTTGACCTTTATCGATTGGGTTTGTTTCCTTGGGCATTATTTGATGTATCTAAGTTGCTTTTGGCTAGTTTCGATCCGTTCGGAGGTTGATGCGTGCGAGATGACATTTCTAGAGTATTGTTTGGCTTGCTCGGTATTGGATTTGGCTTGTTCAAGGTAAATAACACTTCTAAACATGGTGCCGAGGGTATGAACCCTTGAATATACGTGTTATGTGTTTGGTGTTGAGGTGACACACATACTAGGTGACGGGGGTGTGTGCCATGCACTATGTGAATTATGACTCGATTGATTCTATGGTACTGTGTAGTGACCTGATCTTGTTTCAATCCATGAAATTTCTATGTACTAGAGTAATTGAGTTGTGATCCACGTCAGAAACCATGTTTAGGCTATATGCTTATCCTGTTGGGACCCACTTAGGTCATATCTGCTGTTGAGTTATTTGCTTGAATTGCAATTAGATACTCAGTCACTCATTCACTGCATAGCATATCTCAGTCTCTGTTACCATTTGCCTCACATCATATTATCATTGTTTGGGCTGATTGGCATGAGATTTGTGAGGCCGAGAGACTAGAGAGATTGATGATTGAGTGAGGCCGATGGCTTGATTGTGAGGACATTTATGGGATCGGGATGGACGCCTCAGCAGGATTTATTGATTCGTGCCATGATTGGCTTTTATTAGCGCTTGGGTATGATCCGCCCCTCTAGAGTCTGACTCACCAGTAGTGGGCGCGGGTACCTACTGAGGGTGAGTGCAAGTGCTGAGCGCGAGTGCAGAGTGTGCTACACCCCATATTCTCGTACGTGAAAGTACGCCATAAGTAAATTGATGGAAGCTCCGAAATGAGAGGTTACATCCCGCATTTTAGTATGTTAAAGTTTTGTCGTAAGTTAATCGACATAAGTTCGGGAATAAGATTATTTTGAGATTATAAGCATTATGCTATTTCAAACAAGTGATGAGTAAATTCATGAAGGTGAAAGGGTAAGCAAATCGAAGAAAGTGAATTTCGTCGAAGTTTGTCAATTTGGAATAAAATATGGCCCGAGCGATAATACCCGGTATTTATGGATTAGTGCCATACAATGTACCACATGACCATGATATTGAAGTATATGAGGTATGTTAAAAGTGAGTGGTATTTTAAGTAATTTGAGATAATTTTTAATTATGTGAATATTTGGTTAATTATTGATTTGAGTGGGAAGTTAACAAATTAATTAAAAGTTTGAGGATAATTATCTTGGATAAGTATTAGGGGGCAAGTTACGTGAGATTATGGAATGTGGCAGCCATGAATTATGACTCATAAATCACATAATAAGGCGGCAAAAATTGGAGGATGTTTGGTGGCCAAGTCTTACAAAGTGGGGCCACACCACCAAAGACTTAAGATCTCTTTAATTTACAAAAATGAGAGATGTTTACACCTACTAAGCATGCTAACGGATAAAGCTCCTAAAACCAACAATTTAAGAGATACCAATTTCATTAGGGAAATACATAGGCTTGCTATTTGCTAACTAATGAATTCTCAACAATCTCATATGAAGCCTTATAACGCTACGGCAACGGGATTTTACGATTCTAAGAGAGCACGGTACAATCTTTCTCTAAAATATCATCCGGATTTTCCTCTACTTCGATCCGCTGTTACGTGTTGTCTCAATCAACGGGGTGTTAATGGGATTGTCAAGAGAATCGGTTCAGGTATGTTTAGGCTATCTCTTTTTTCTTTTGGCATGATCTATACGACACGAACGAAACGAGCAAATGCACAGCTTCCATAAATGACTCTATTCATAGAGGTATTAGAGATGCCTATGTTCTTGAATTCCCACGTGTCTTATTATTACATATTATTTTCATGGGTCTCAGAAAATACGTAAGTTGAAAAAGTTTACTTCATGACATTATTTAAAGGCATAATGGTCTTATGACATTCCTAGAAATTTTATTGACGTACTTCTCATGCATTGCATTCATTCATACATGTACATTGACCCATGACCAGATGTTGTTATATACACATATATATGTATATTATATGTATATGGTATATGGTAAAAGGTTACGATATTGTATACGCACCACCACCTGATCTGCTGGTATACGTTGATGATTTTGCCCATAGTGGCCGAGATGATATGATGGGATGCCCTCAGAGGCTTGATGATGTTATGAACATATGTACCTATGCGCGACATGAAATTCATATGCATATGCATGACACTATATGTATTTCATGATTTACAGAGCTATCCAGACTTACATGTTGAGTCATTTACTCCATGTTTCTTCCATGTCTTTTATATACTTGTTTATGCGCCTTACATACTTGGTACATTATTCATACTGACGTCCTTTTGTTGGGGACGCTGCATTCATGCCTGCAGGTATAGACAATCAGTTTGACGAGCCCTCATAGTAGATTAGGTTAGCATTCAGCGGAGGATCGGTAAGACTCCACCTCATTCAGAGTGCAGCCGAGTCTATGAGTCAGCATGTCAGAATTTTACTATAGACTTATGGGTAGGACGGTACCCTGTCCCATTTGATGTCAAATACTCTTAGAGGCTTTGTAGACAGAGGTTCATTTTTTAAAGTATGTCAGAGGCCTTAACAGTCCATATGTATTCATGTTTTAAGAAAGATGGTTCACTAATACAGTGCTTTCCCACTTATAGGTATACATTACGAGTTGTGGCCATGTTGGCCCAGTTACCAATGATAGCACGATAAGAAAGATCTGTTACGTTGGTACTCGGGAGT